TTCAAACTTTATCTTGCAAGTTTTACAAGATGATTCTACTGAAATGGTAGTTTTGCTTCTGGTAAAAGAAGGGAATGTGTAAGCAACATCTCTGAAAAGTCACAGGTACATTATCACCTGTATGTGGATGACATGTAAGTGTTATAATTAGCCTAGTTCTAAATAGTATTTCAGGATGGCGAAGGCTTGCGTGGTATTTTTGTACTATTTTGTTTTAAAATCTGCTTTGTGTGCTTGGGTAGAGCAGGGAGGACCTTCTCCTATGCATTTCCTATTCCTCCTACTCCTGTTCCTTCTCTCTCGAGGCTATTTTAGCAAAGCAACATCATCAAATTAATATTTGTTATAGCAATAGAGAATGGAAATAATACCCCTCTCCATTTTATACCTTTTTTTCTGAACCACCAGAGTTTGCTCAAGGCACTTTCACACAGTCACATTTTCTCCCTTTATAATCACGTTACTATGCAAGTGCCCTCACGGTTGGCTGCCAAATAACCTCTTTGAGGTGCCAACGATGGTTTAACAATCCTCATTCTTTGTCATTGCTCATTACAGATAGTCCTCAACTTATAACCACAACTGAGCCCAAAATTTCCATTGCTAAACAAGACAGTTAAGTGAGTGTTGTCCCATTTTTACGACTCAGTAACGTAATTGTTAATTGAATCTGGCTTCCCATTGTCTTTGCTTGTCAGAAGGTTGCAAAAGGTTATTGCGTGACCACAGCACAGTGCAACCATCATATGCTAGTTGCCCAGCTTCTGAATACTGCTCACATGAACACAAGGATGCAGCAATGGTTGTGTGAAAAATGATACAAGTCCCCTTTTTTAGTGCTGTTGTAACTTCGGTCACTAAATTAATTATTGTAAGTTGAGGACTACCTGTATACACTGATACCTTGGTATTCAACTGCTTCGAAACTCATTGTTTGGCACTCAATGCATTTTGACATGAAAATTTTGTCCTGGTACTCATTGTTTGTTTGGTACTTGATGCACCAGTTAGAACTTGTTGGTGTTATCTGCCTTGTGACTCACTACATTATTCCTTATGGGAAAAAATAGTTTGGTACTCATTGCGCCTCCTGGAACCAATTAACGATGAGCATTAATCAATATTAATTTTTTTAAGGAGGGGAAGAAAACCCAGCCAGTGTGTCATCACCTTTTGGACTGACTGGAAATAATGTGCCAAATCACTCTGACACCTCAACTTCTGGACGGGAGAGGGAATCCCACACACCAGGAAACAGGAAAAAGCAGGAGTGTTTGCCAGTGGGAAACCAACTAACCCACAGCTGCAAAGGAAATATGTAAAACAATCTTTGCAGCTAAATGAGGAAGTTAACAAAGTCAGCAGAATTGCAGAAACTCTTTCATGTGCCGAAAACAGGCTTGCAGTGCAAGGCTCAAGTTGCCGCAATCCTTTTATGTGGAAATATACAATTTCCAGGGAATAAACCACACTGGCAGGGGAGTTCTGGGAGTTGAAGTTCACACATCTTAAAATGGCTAATGTTGAGAAACACTGGAATAGAGCTTGGAAGACGAAGCTGATGATTAGAAAGAAACTTCTTTTTTCCTTTGTGCCTTCTCATTCCACACCAAGTTTTGCAGTCATAAAACCTATAATGCCATCCAGATGAAATTGCAATACCTGTAAACATCTCACTGCTTTCCACAGGAGGATCAATTGCAGGCTGGAATCTCTCATTGGTCAGCAAGTTGGAAAAATGCTTAATTTGGAGTAGATTCTGCCCTGGCTAAATAATAGGCTGACCAGATTTGTTTTGTTACTCGCTGACTTCAGCAAAAGAGCAAGACAGGTACAGAAATCCCACAAGCAAGTAAGTAAACAAACAAACAATAAATTGGAAAAAACGAATGAAAAACAACCACTGCCCATATCGTGAGTCTTCTAAGGTTGCCAATTATGCTCACAAAGGCAGCATTCACTAAGAGTCTGCAGTACATGAATTACTGGGAAAGTTCTTTTAATGATCAGCCAGAAAAGGCCACCCAGTAAAACACAAAGAGTTTTGTTCTCAAGCACAACCACATCCTTAGAAGCTTGGAGACCATTCAGCCACCTTAGAACCAATGGCAGAGCAATTAGTGGCAATATTTGTTGGTTGCGGCAGCCTGGATCTGGAATCTGATAGTATCCAAATGAAGGACACACAGGTTTATTTTTTCCCCCCAGTTCAATAGTCTTCATTTGGGGGGGGAAAACCCTTTTGCCTATCCTTCTTTTCCTTTCTGCATTTATTGACAAAAAATGTAATGTTTTCTAACATTCCTTTATTTATTGCTCTGTATTTTTCATTCTTTTAATAGCAGGTGACATGGCAGTAATGATCAAATGTGATAGAATACAATATAATTGACAAAATAACACAGGGGTCTCCAACCTTGGCAACTTTAAGACTTGTGGACTTCAACTCCCAGAGCTCCTCAGCCAGCAAAGCTCACAAGTCCACAAGTCTTAAAATTGCCAAGATTGGAGACCGCTGAAATAACATAAAAGGCAGTAACAGTCAGCATAAACAAGAAGATATGTATCTCTGTAATATGCACACATGCAGACACACAAACACAGAGCACAGTCAAGACCTCTGCTTCAGCTCTTCCAGGTTGCTCTTCCAGGTTTCAATATAAAAAAAGAGGACCAATTGTAATGATTAATCATATACCAGTTGTTGAATCTCACCCTCTCGGCACTGAATGATAGATGGAAATGTTTACTATGTTCCCCTTTGGACTCGAGAGAGATACGGAGTGGATTTTTTTTTTTTTTGCCAGCTTTTTGGAAGGATTTGGCTTAATCCCAAAGTGCATAAAGGGGGAAAAATGCCCAAACTTCCTTTAGGTATTGCTGGCTTTTTACTGCATTCTCATGCCAATTAATTTCTGTTGAAGCAAAGCAAATGCCAAACCAAGATTTATTAAACATCATTTTGGAAGTTCAGGGCATTCGAAAGGAGTGCTGAAAAATTATAAATAGTTCCCCAAAACTTAAAATGTAGTTTTCCCTCCAACAAATTTCTCCACTTCATTCTAATGCTCAAGCAATGAGCGCTGTTAGTTCTGAAGCCAAAGCAAAACCACCTGTTCAAAGAATTCCAAGAAGACAATGTCAAAATGGTTGAGATAATGTTAAGTTTTGAAAATGGGCAAAATGAGAATGTTTAATGGTGTGTGTGTGTGTGTGTGTGTGTGTGTGTGTGTGTGTAGAAAGAGAAACTCAAAGTAGCACTCTAGAGTGCAACTTTTTTTGTAGTTTCCATTTTACAGGTTCCATTATCCTTGCAGTTGAGAAATGATATATGAATGTAGTTCAATTAATTTTACTACATTCAGTTGAAGGGAAGGGCTAAATTCAATGTGTATGATGGGGAAAATTCGTTGTTTCCATCAAAAATTGGGAGTGAGAAACTAGCATAAGTAGCAAAAACCAAGTATTTACTCTTGCTTGCCCACACACCAATACACAAGTGATTTTGGCCAATTATATATTGTCCTCAATCATAAACCACTGTAGTTAGATTCTCACAATTTTCTAAGCTGAAACCAAACAAAATATGAAGACAAACATAAATGTCCCAGGATAACGTTGAACGATCCATTCTTGGTCAGTCACCAGGACTAGAGATTTACTGCTTTATCAGAGTGACCAACCCAGATTTGGATCTTGCAAACAAAAGATGTTTTGGCTTGGAACAAGTCCTGACATAGTTGTCACAAAAATCCACAATAAACTTAATTCGGGATTTTCTCACAACTATATACTGTCTTTCATCTTTCATGATGTTCTTCTCCTGGGAAGTCTGTTTTCTATAAAATAATTGAAGCATTGAAAGTTTGAGTTCATCTGAGTGCAAAGATTTTTAGAAAAACAAATTCTGCAGAAAATTCCCAACTTCTTTTGAGACCTAAAGCAAAACAAGGGAAGGTTCTTATTGCTCCCCAGATAAAATAGTGAATAATAGGAAATACACTAAGAATTCAAATGCTTATTTTAGAAAAAAAACGAAATAGTCTATGTCAGCTATAGGTAAACATTTCCTAGGCTTGAACATATGCTGAGAACTGTGTTTCTCTCAGTGATGCCCAAATAACTAATACTTAAACTGAGCAGAATTTATCCCCAAATTTACTTTTAAATGTTGCTAATCCAGAGAAATTTCAAGTGAACAAGAGCAATTTTTAATTCAAGTGAGGTTTTTTTGTTGCAAATCATAACTCACAGGTTAAGATCAGTGGTGGGATTCAAATATTTTTACTACTGGTTCTATGGGCGTGGCTTGGTGGGCGTGGCAGGGGAAGGATACCATAAAATCTCCAGCCAGAGGTGGTATTTGCCAGTTCTCTGAACTACTCAAAATTTCCGCTACCAGTTCTCCAGAACTGGTCAGAACCTGCTGAATACCACCTCTGGTTAAGATACATGTAGATTCAACCCAATTTATGAGAACAGCTGCTAGCATGGTTTGAAGTAACATCATATTTTAAAATCATTCTATATTTCTGCTCTTCAAAGAATTTTTGTATATTTTGTCAATAGGATTTTTGTGCCCAACATAGTTGAACGCCGTCTAATCCATACAGGATTAGATACTAATGGAAATCTGAAAATCACCTCATATGGAATCTATTACATTCCATAGAAAAGTATTGCTGTATTTATATGCTTTTATGAAAAATACTAAAGTATCTTTATGATTTCAATGATAAACTGGGAATTAAAATATATATCTTTATTTATAAATGGACTTACATAAGTATCATGTTTAAGAACGTAGCTACAATAGAAGAAAAAAAAATCCTAACTCCACAAAAATAAAGGAACCTGCTGCATCAGTGCAATTCAGAATATATGTACAAACTCATAAAGTGGTGACAAGAACACCAGACATTTTAAAACTCTGGACTTCTAATGTTACAAAAGCAGACTTTTGATGACATAGCTGTTATTTTTTATTATTATTATTATTATTATTATTCCTTGCCTCTATCTGTCTCCTGAGTCTGCTAGGGAAGGTCTCCTAATCTTGATGAATCCAAATGCAAGGAGAATTCATGCTGTGGAAGGGCTATAACACAGAAAGACTAGTTCGTAAAGATCTAAGGCCAGGACAACATAGTCTCAGTTGACTGGCAGAGAGAAGTGCACAACTTTCAAGTTTAAAGTCAGCTAAATATAATTCATAGTCTTCTGCATCTTAAGAGGCATCCCCTCCCCCACACATCTGCATTAGGCTAGGTATGTTTTTATCCTTCAAATATTAAATTCCAAAAGTAACTTACCTCCTTTATGTATCGGTTTATCCTAATTTAAAGAGTTTATTAAAATTAATTTAAAGAAAAGATAGTTTCACAAGAGTAGCTCGACTTATCTATCCTTTCCACTTCGCTGTATACAAGGCTAGATGCAAGATCTACTGCACAAAATCCAAACAAAAATTCAGTGGCGTTTTCATCTTCCGACCCTCATTTCTCGCTGCTTGTACAATTTAGAGCCTGGTCTCCATTGAGATATTATGGGAAAAAAAGATGCTTTGTTTCTCTTAGAATGGATATGCACTATTATTATTTGTCACCACCCATGAAAACTTTATGCTAATTCCTCATCTTTTGCAATCCTTACAGATTTTCCTAAAAGGTCAGTAGTGGGTATTCAATTTATATATTTATTACTACAAAGAGAAGTTAGCTGGGGATCTAGAGCAGCCTTCTCCAAGATAGCACTCTCCAGAAAGAATGAGACTATACTTCTCATAATTCATAGGCACCAGGAAAAAAAGCTTGAAATTCTGGAAATTGTGGTCCCCTATCTATCTAATGGCACCAGTTTGAGAAGAATTAGGATGCCCAGCTTTGCAATGTCGTATCAAAATAAACAAGGTCTGGGACTTGTTCCAATCCTGCTGAAGTGAGAATTCATCTAGATTTGTGTATGACTATGCTAAGAATTATACAGTTTGCTTCTTGGATTATGGATATCTGCAGTGTATGTATGTGTCTAGAAGGCTGGATACTCAAACCTTTCTTATCTTATCTTAATCTTTTCCATAACTCAGCCAAAAATCACTGAAGGAGTCGTATTTCATTGATTCTTTGTGGGAATCAGTTTAATAAGAGCTTCAAAGTTTATGGTGAAGCAATGGCTTCTGACATCATCTACGACTATCAACTGGACAAGTGGATTCTAGATTATTGCTCTTCACTTATAATTGGCAAAAAATCCATACACTGCTTTTACCTCCCAAATTGGGCATGCTAACTAAAATATAGCATAACTGACTACAAAACAACACAAATGGTTCAAGGCCAAATGTACATGAAGTGCTTTGTGTAGACTTCAGCATTATTGTATTTATAAAACTGAGTGTATACAATTGTTCATGATTATTTGGGTAAGCTAGCTTCCTGAAAATGTTTTAGCTTGGAAGGCAACTTTATCATGGCAAGTAAGCTGACTTTCTTCAAACTGGTATTCCTTACAAATATTGAGACTTAAAATTTCCAGCCTTTGGTCATGCTGGGTGTGCATGCCAATAGATGTAGAGGCAATACATCAAGAAGATACCAGGTTGCAGGAAGCCAGGGTAAGGCTTCTGAATGGAATTATGACAAATCTTGTTAGTTAAGAAGATGACCTTGAAAAAGCAACAACAGCTCCAAAATCTCTCATAATTATCCTATGACCTGTCTCTTTTATTTGATAGTGCCAATGCAGCTATGAGCAGCATTTTGCAAGCATCATTCCTACCTCTTTGATCCATTTAGTTCTAGAGACTAGTTTGTTTCTTGAAAGCTTATGAGAAATTTTCCCCAAATTGGATTCAAAACAATGTGAATCCAGGAAACTCATATTAAAAATAAATATCAAAGAATGCCAAACCATCTAGCTCAACTGCTAGCAATAAATAGCAATCATGGCTATTGGGCGTGCCATATCTTTGCTAACCAAGGAATGTTTCAAGTATCAAGGAGCTGCACTCCTTATTCTAACATAGCACCAGACAGTTTTGAAACCATCGATGGCTTATTGTGCAAATATCCCTTCTATTTCTAAGGGCTGCAAGCTCAGCTCTCTTTTCCAGTACACTTTTTAGTGCCCCTTTTCAGCATTCTTCAACTACTGTCCCAATCAAGGAGTATAATTTTTTCTTAATTAGACGAAACCCAGGGCTCAAGATCAGAGTCTGCTTATAGCTAGAAGTAAAACAAACTCTGGGGAATAAACTCCTGAAGCTGGGCCATGAGCAATTGTCTTGCTTGAACACCAGTGTCAACTCAAAAGTAGGAATGACGCTGGGGTCACAAACAATCTTATCCAGCCTTTTACATACATTTCCAGTTTCCAAGTTGACATGAATAATGCAGCCCCGCAAACCACAAGGCTCCGTAGAAGAGAGACGCAAGACATCTTGAGCTATCCTCCGAGTTAATTTCTCAGGGACTAAGACCCTTGAGCAATGCAGTCTAGTTTGTTTTGATTTAGAGAGGCAGTTCTCCAGCATTCTAATTAGATTCTGACACGTTTGTTCCTCAAACACCGTCTCATTAAAGTTGGGTTCAGGCGCTACAAAATCCCAATAGTCAAAGTCTGCAAGGGAAAAGTGAAAATTAGAAGAGGTTCTCCATACTGTCAAGGAACTAGCCCGCCCACCACTTCTAGCATCCCATTATTATATTTAAGTTCATTGCAAGTATCATATGCACAAACATACTATCACAAACAGCTGTGGGTCATCAGACCAAAGCTAGAATGCCACTAGAAGGGACAGACAGCTTGCCAGATGGAACAGAAAATGCAGAAAAATACACGCCCAGCACAATAGACTCATTTTTTTAAAAAGGACACCCAACTATGTTTTTCTAAAGATTACAATTTTGGCAGGCTGTCAAGAACAGAGCTAAGTTGTTCCACGCTGCATGCCAAAAAAGAACGAACTTGTTTACTTTGCTAAATTAAGAGAGTCCTGGACATAGATGCACCCCTCAATTGAAATTGATAAGAGAAAATGAGGCCGTTTTCACACATTGTTCACACTTCAGTGAAACATCAGTGAGCTCATGTCTGAATGGTTAATTCTAAGCTTTAGACCTAAACTTTAGGTCTTTCTACAAATCCTTCAGACTTCAGTTTTGCAGAAACTAGTAATGCATTCAATTTACTTACATTTCATTAACTAGATATTATATAAATTATCTTTATTGCTGCCATTATTATTTTTTAAATGGCTATTATCCCCATAGCCAACAACAAAGTTGTCATTATTTATAAAGGAATTATATTTAAATAACTAGGTTCTGATCCAGCTGGCTTGCATGCCAGTGAAGCATCTAATCTATAATTACAGTTTCTTATTAAGTCTTAAAGTTCTGAAATTCGCCAATATGCTTCTGAACTGCTAAGGTTTAGCATTGAAGGAACTATTCCTTGTTTCAGCAAAACCTGAAAAAGATTTATCTTTGTAGCCTAATGCAAGTTTGGGCTCCATTGTTTTTTATAATGCAAACTATTTATCATTTTGATAAATTATGCGGAGATGCCTAAATCTGGTAGAAAAGTGTAAAAGTTATACCTCAACCTCTTAATCCATGAATCAAGTACAATTTTCAATATTAAGCTATTTATTTAAATTTACCCTACCCAAAAAGGGTATGGAATTTTGAAGCCAAGCTTCACTGTGTGCTTTTGTTTTTCTGTCTACAAAAGATAGGTAGCTACAAATGCGGCATTAAAGAAAATATTCAAAATGCTAAATATAATATTAGGCTATACCTCATGTTTTCATTCAATAATACTATATGTAGCAATCCTGGGCAAAGAGCACACTTGGTGCTTGCATGACACCCCTCAGATATATGACTTCCAAAAGTAGTGAATGAGCCCAGATGAAAATTTAACATTGTATTTTATTACAAGGCATTATTTGTCAAAGAAGTTTGGCTAAATGAGGCATCGCAGTATCAGATGGGGCAACTTCTAATTTACTACAATCTGGACACCTGCCCCCATCCCAGTCATCCTATCTTACTTACCAGAAAAGGATAGCTGCTGAAATCGCTGCTGTATCAGTTCAGAATTTTTATTGTTTAAGTTGTTGGTTGCAACCATTCTGAAGAAGTGCATTCACCATCAACAAGTCCGTGGTGCACCTTACAATTCTGACTACTGTGTGAGGAAGCAAATCCAATTGACTTGAGAGACTGTTAGAAGATAAGGCAGGTGAACACTATTGAAGGGGAAGCAGCAAAATAAGGGCTATGCCCAGAGGCCTAAGGCAACCCTGCCATGTTCTTGGCAATGATACAGACTTTTATTTATTTATTTGGTTTGTCAATTGCTTACAAGATAATAGATATAAGTATAAACATAGTTATAAATACATGGATACATATAAGAACAATAAAAAACAATAGGACAGGGACGGTAGGCACATTGGTGCACTTATGCATGCCCCTACAGACCTCTTAGGAAAGGGGTGAGGTCAATAATAGACAGTCTAAGGTTAAAGTTTTTGAGTTCTGGGGAAGAAACAACAGAGACAGGTAGAGTATTCCAGACATTGATCACTCTGTTGCTGAAGTCGTATTTCCTGCAATAAAGTCTGGTGCGATTAACCTTGAGTTTGTATCTATTGTGTGCTCTTGTATTGTTATGGTTGAAGCTTAAGTATTCATTGACAGGTAGGCCATGCCCAAGTCTAAAATGTTTTTTTCCCCTAACTCCCCAATCTAGCCCCAAAACTCTGAAATTACCTGACAGTCTCTCTCCCCCTCCCCAAAAGGAAAAAAAAAAAACTACAGAGGAAATTCCAATTTTTCAAGATCAACCAGGCTCATCTAGTGGCGACACCTGCTCAGCCACAGACACTTCCCAGGAGTAAATTCCACCAGCTTTTACAAGGGCTACTCCTGGATAAATGAATTGCACCCTGTGAATCTCATGTCACTCACAAACACATTTTAAAATTTCATTAGCACAAAGCACATTCTAAAACGCCTTTTGAGTTTAAATGCAAAAAAAAAAAAATCTTAAAAGGAAATGGAACATCGTTATTCAAGTTTGCTTTTGTTCATTAATACAATCTCCAGCCCAAGCTCTTACCTGCGAAAAAGTAAAGGAGGGAAACTTTGTTAGGACAGGGACTCCCGTGTCGCTAGAAAGCATAAAGAGAGGAATTATAGATACGAACTCCTAGCCACCAAAGAGCCTCCTGTCCTTTGTAAATTCCAGCTTAGACATTTATAGACTGTAACCCTCCGCCGCGGCCCAGCCCCACCCTATTCGTCAAGGTCTTGCTAGCCAAACAGCCCCCCTCCCAATTTGGCAGCCAAGCTCTCTTCTCATTGGTCGCTGCTCTTTTAGGGTGGGTGGTGGCCGGCAGAGCGAGGGGTTTGAATTGGAAAGAAGAGAAGCCCGGCGGGGGACTATTTGGTTGGATGAGGGGAACGGTAGAAGAAGAAGAACCAGAGGTTGAGGGGGGAAAAGGGACAGTCAAAGTCACCCGATTCACTTCTGCCGGAGCGTTTTGACCCCTTCGGAGCCGCTTCTTTGCTCCTTTCCCGCTCGGCGCGGCCTTGAAATGGCCGGGGGAAAGTTTAGGTGGGCGGCCACAGCGCTCGTTGATTCACTGGGTCCAGTTCCCGAAGCGGTAAACTTCTGGAGTTAGAAAGGGAGACGGGCGAGTCCTCCGGTTCTTCTTCTTCTTCCTCTTCTTCTTCCTCTTCCTCCTCCTCCTCTTCGTCTTCTTCTCCTCCTCCTTCTCCTCCTCCCTCTTCTTCTTCCCATCCTCTTCTTTCCTCTTCCCCTTCTTTCCTCTTCCTCCTCTTCTCTCCTCCTCCTCCTCCTCTTTCTCCTTCCCCTCCCCCTTCTCCTCCTCCTCCCCCTTCTCCTCCTCCTCCTCCCCCCTCCCCTCCTTCTCTCCCTCTTCCCCCCCTTCCTCAGCCGCTGAACATAAAGAATAAATTAGCCAACAGAAGAGAATATCTGCAGCTCAGGATTGAACTGTGGAATCCTTGGTGTTCTCTGGGCTTGGCTGTTTGTTTGCAGAGTTTGCGACCAAGGTCAGAGAGCACCAAGGACTCCACTGAATAAAAGGGGTTATAATGCCAAAGTGCTGCTAATTCACCATGTGGTTAATACAGCTGACCCAAAGTGCGTTATCAAGGTGCACCATTTCGGTTTTTGAGCTGGAAGAACAACTGAGGGACATTTTGAACGATGCTGGTTGCAAGGATGTTCAACCTGGCACATATCCTGCATTCCAGAAGTGATCAAATCAGTTTTTTTTTCCTAGGAGACATTTCAGCGTTGGCCACCAGATTTACTCTCCAATTCTAACCAAAGTGTCAGCAACGTAAAACTTCAGTCTTGTATGTGCTTAGAGTAGTGTAAGTCCTACTAGTAGTGTGCTTGAAACGAGACTTGAGAGTTAAAGGGGGAAATCTGATCCAGTGGCTTCTCCCAGATCTGAAATAACTGCTATGTGAGCAGAAAGTCTGCACAATGCTGCTGGGTCAGATGTCCTGGAGAAGTTGTGTTTTAGCTCATCTGGACTGTTTCAAAACTGCTGGTTGAGAAAAAAACTATGTTAGAGAAACATCTCTTTCTGGTTTATTTATAAGCTGACTTATTTGTTTTCTCTGACCAATTTGTACTGCTGCTTATTTCAAACTGACTTTGGGTCACTACCGTAATATGGCATTAAAACTCAGATTCATCTGTTTAGAATAATAAGCATGCACAACAGTGGTAGGATTCAATTTTTTTACCACCTGTTCTGTGGGCATGGCTTGGTGGATGTGGCTTGGTGGGCGTGGCTTAGTGGGTGTAGCAGGGGAAAGGATACTGCAAAATCTCTATTCCCTCCCCACCCCACTAACCTGCTTTCCAGCTCCTTTCTCCTGTGCAGGGCAACCAAAGAAGACCCAGCCAATCAATTAGGACTCAGGAGGCAGAGAATAGATGGGAGCAGGGCCAGTCAGAGGTGGTGTTTGCCGGTTCTCCAAACTACTCAAAATTTCCACTACTGGTTCTCCAGAACTGGTCAGAACCTGCTGAATACCACCTCTGATGCATAAAGACAAAAGAGAACAGTTGTTTGAAAATGGCCTCTCAGTCTTCTGGGTCCAATTAACCTCTCAATCCCCACACCTAGGAAAAGAGTTATGTTTTAAAGCTTTAAAAAATTCTAAAAGCCAGGGGCTTGAAACAAAAAGAATTAAACTCTTTTTGAGGTAAACCAGATTAAGAAACTAAAGTTAGGATGTTAACACCACTTACAATATTAAAAATCTTTAATCTCCCCATTCCCTCCCTTTATTTTCTAGAAAACTAAGAGAGGTCAAGTCTTCAGGTTTTTTTTCTCAAATTACATGTCTGTCTCAGACTCAGATAGCTTTTACCAAATATCTGTTATCTTGGTTACCATGAAGGCCGTTACAGGTGACACCCGGCATCTTGACTTACACCTGGAAACACACTGGCAATCAGTGCAGTACAGTTTGCAGAACAAAGGTGCAACTTAGGTGTATCAAGGTGTCCAGGGCAGATCATGCTTCATGTAGGGTACATTGAAGTAATCCATTGGAGCTAGCCAAGGCAGGACTGACCTTGAAAAGTATCTCTAGTGTCAGAAAATGCACAAAAATGAAGGTATGCAAAAGTTCTAGTTGTCACCAGTTCTTGTTCCTTTTCTCCTCCACCACTAGTGGTAAAATCTCATGTCCAAAAAGTTTTTCCTCCGCTGTTGATGCAATTGCTAGGTGTATTATTATATTTGTAGCGATTATGAACTGGATACATACATTTGCAAAGGCACCTGTCAACCGTTGATTGACATCCCTAACCCATTTAGTGGGGGAGGGGGAGAAGAAAGGGAATAATTAGATGTGATCAATTGGTCTGCAGATGGAAAAGGAACAAGAGCTGCTGCCTGTCCATCATTCCTATGATAAACAATAACGTGTGTTGTTTAGTGATCAATATATAGAACACAGAATTAAAGAGCTGGAAGGGATTTTGAGTTTTCTAATCCAATCTCCTGCCCAAGCAGAACAGCCTATATACCATTGTGGACAAATCTTTTCTTCAAAACCTCTAGAGATTGAACTCTAGAGCGCTGGCTTTTTTGAAGGCTAGGTGTTCCATTGATTAATTGTTCTCACTGTCAGGAAATTTCTCCTTAGTTCTAGGTTGAAGCTCTCTTTGATAAATTTCCATGTTGCATTAATCTTGCATTGACAGGCTAACCTCATGCATTTAAGTTGCTGTACTATGGAGACACAACCAGTGAGTTCAGCAAATATTCAGAACTGGATTGATTTTGGAAAATCGTGGCTAGGTTAATTGTTCTTATGGTAGATTCAATTGACCACGGAGAAGTATAAATCCAGTCAAAGGTGTTACACTGTTCTCTTTTAGCCTGGATTTACTACAATCTCCTGTCAATTTCAAGATAAATAATTTCCAGTTAAACATTACCCATGTAGCTGGGAATCTGGGAATTTTAGTCCAACCATTTGGAAAGAACCAGATTGGTGAAGAGAGAACACTATGATTGATTTGATCATTTCTAACTTTCTTCAATTGCAGAAGGAGGAGGAATACATGGAATATAATCCAATTGGATTCCCACACCCTGAGCTACCAACTCTTATAGAGTAAAGAAAATGTCCCACTATTATGTCTTACAAAGATAATGAAGTGTTTTTATCATTCTCTGTGTTCTTTAGAACTGATTTTTTGCATACATTTCTCTAGGTATTGGCAAAGAAAATGTGAAAAGATGCTATAACGATTTATAAGGGAGGGCTCCTAATTCTAAGAAATGTCAACAAATGTTTTAAAGGCTTCCCGCCTGACTTTCTTTGCTACATTTAAAAGCCCCCTGAGAAGTGTGAAGATAAAATGCCACCAATTTTGCCAGTAAATACTTTCCCCACAGTGCTGGCCATGATTGCAAGTTACTGTGACACTGTATTGGGAGAAAGAGAGATGTTCCAACCAGTGTATGTAAGAGGAGAAGCTGTAGGAACAGAACACTACACCTTGGAAGCAGGGGATTTAGCAATGGCTGGCTCACATCCAAGAGTCAGGACAAGGCAATACTTCCACTCATGACAAAACAGACTGTCCGTAAAATTCAGAAATAGATCAACGTGCTTCCAAACACAGTCAACAACATGGTGTCAGTTACACTGGAAGGTGATCTTGAAATGCAAAATACCACTGCAGAAGAGCTCAGATTGAGAAAAGTCGTCAACAAAGATTTTGTTAGTCCCCCTTTCTTTGGGTTTCTATTTCAGGCTACCAGTTGAAATCCTAAATCTTTGCAAGATACTTTGTATTTTCTGTGCAAAAGCCAAAGAGGCTTTTAAATTTAGGTTACACAATACAGTTCTTATGGTCACATAAAATGTTATGCCTAAATAAAACATCTTATGATTTAAGCTAATGTATTAATTCACACAAACGTGCTAATAGCTAGAGTCCTATAACATGCTGAATTATCAATTACCCAATCTATTTCAGTCTAGTCAAAGATGTTTTGGCCAGGGTATCAACCAGTGTTTTTAAAAACCTGAACATATGGAAGAAGTAGTAATTATCACAAATCCAATAAAGCCTAGCTCCAGGCAGTTGTACTTGTTTAATACACTAATGAGATTTCTCTGGTTGTTTGTGAATCACCGTTTATAACAGATTATTCACTCCTTTGTAACTCTGGATTTCTTTTATGTGTATGTCTTAGTGCATATAAATTTTGATTTAGCATAAGTCATCTTCCAATTTCTATGTGGCATTGTCCTTGAAGGCCACCTGGAAACTATAGCTCAAAGTTATAGACGTCTTAGTTTGCCCATATGACGCCTCTTCTCTGACAACTACACGGGATATCAGTCTGTTTCCAGGTACAAATCAAGGTGTTGATTGTTATCTTCAAGACTCAAACCTGAGTATTTTCTGCTCGCTCCAGGTCAGGAAGAACAGACTTCTTTGAGGCTATATATCAGAACAGAATAGAATAACAGACTTGGAAGGGTCCTTGGAGATCTTCTAGTCCAATCCACTGCACAGACAGGAAACCCTATACCATTTCAGACAAATGGTTATCCAATCTCTTCTTAAAAAACATCCAGTGTTGGAGCATTCACGACTTTTGGAGGCAAGTTGTTCCACTGATTAATTGTTCTAACTGTCAGGAAATTTCTCCTTAGTTCTAAGTTGCTTCTC